GGAAAATCTAAGGATATGGAGAAAGCTGGGAGAACATGTGAGCACTATCGACCTTCGTAAGGCATATCTCCAGATTCATATTACTCCTCACTTATGGAAATTCGAAGTCGTCCGGTTCAAGGATAAAAATTATTCTCTGACGCGACACTCGGCCTAAATGCTGCACTAAAAATAATTATTTTTGAATTAAAATATTTATTAATCAGCAAACTGTCAATAGACTCAAAAGTCCGATGTGCCACGGACTCTTATGTTGACGACATAGTGGTGAATGAAAAAATTGTTGACAATGATGTACAGTACAGTAGTAAAGAAGTTGTTGGGAAAAAATGGGTCGTACGAAAAACCAGTGGAATCTCATGATGGAAGTAGGGTTTTGGGGTATACAATTTCATAATAATAAGTTAAATGGCAAGTTAATGTGGACCAGAGACAACAAGAAAAAAAACTTGGAATGAAATTGAGACCAAGAGAGATGTGTACTCCTTGTGTGGGCAATCGGACATTTTCCAGTGGCTGGTTGTATTCGACTAGCATGCAGCTTTCTTAGGCTGGGGCCACACGTGGCGGATTGTCCGCGCGGCTTATGATCGTACGATCATACGTACAGAGCGTACAGGGTTGAGGTTTCCCAGTCTACGTACCGTACTGTAAGATTAGAACATGGTTTAATTCACTCGTTCTCGTTGTAGTCATGGACGAAACACTTGTGTTAGTTTGTGCATTAGAAGCGTGTGGTGAGCTAGAGCCTAAGGTTAACCGAAATCATTGGGTCCATCCTTTCATAACCGATAAACCATTTTTTGTGTTCCAAACCGTTTACGAGCACATGCGAAACCATAGTTCCGTAGTTTTTTGGTTACTATCGCATGTAGATAGCATCGTTTGACGAGCTACTTTAATTGCTTCGACCGCATATAACTAAGGAAGATACACTCATGAGAAATGTACAACATGAGAAATCCCACAGACATGGTTTGTCTTTAACAAGTTGTATTAATTTGTCAGTATCGAACATTTTACACCTATAAACCGAAACGCACAAGCACGAACTCAAAAAAACAACTACAAATGCTTGAAAATGAGCTCCAACAGCGCGGACAATCCGTATCGTGTGGCCACTCTCATAAGGCTACGTGTGTCATCCCCTCCAACGCGGCTTAGGATCGCGCGGACAATCCGGGTCATGGCGCGGACAATCCGCCCAGGCGGCTTAGGATCGCCCTGTGTGGCCACTCTCATTTGATTCAATATGTTGTCAGACCACGCCTCGTGTGGCCCCGTCCTTAACCCTTCCCAGTAGCATGTATACCGACAGCAAAATTATTTTATTTAAATAAAAACTAAAAATATCTTTTTTATATCTATAATTTATCTGTTGTGAATAGTTAACCTATGCAGCACTTTAGTCCAAAATCATTTTGTATTCCTATAACTTTCCAAACTTTTGTTTCAAAATTTTTTTGAAATATAATTTCTTATTTTTTTTTAGAAAAAACACATTTCTAGTACATTGGTTGAAGATATAATTGAATAAAAGGACGTTTTAACAAAGATTAATGATGTTATAGACAATCAGCTATAACAATAACTGTCAACTGTCATAATTATCAGCGGATACATCCGCCTATTGTCTGCTTGGAGACACACAACCTTAGGCGAGTTAGGTCCTCAATTATGACGATAAAGTCGGGTAGCTTCCACAGCAGACAATGCTGATTGTTGACTTGTCACTAAATGTTGTCGGTCTTGCATGAGGTGCAAATAGATCCTAAGATACATTTATATAGGTAGCGCTTTGTCACTGTCATATAATTCCTTTCTATCTGTACATTGAAACATCTGTTCAAATGTTTAGAAATAGTTTTTGTTTGATGATTTGGTTCATATTGTAAACTTTTATATCATGCTAGATTCTTTGTTCATTAAAGCCTAACTAAAGGTAAGGTAAATGCACCAGTAGCTGACAGTGCTCCAGAAGCTGACAGTTTGAGTTTCTTAACATTATAATGTGGTCTCTTAAAAATATTTACACATGATTGCATTGTTAGAAGAACATATGTTTATTCTTAAATTGTTTACAAACAAATCAGCGAAATTTAGCCCATACTCGCGGAATGGTGGTGGTTTGAAAGCGACCCTGTCTGTACACATCACATTTAGTCAATTCCCTTAATGAAATTGTTAAGAAAGTAAGTTTGGTTTTTTGTCATTTCGCTAAATTTCTTAAATAGTATTAATGATTAGGCTCATTATTTTTATCAATTATACCTTTGTTGACAATGTCATGATAAAATTGGGGTGTTAGGGGTTTTGGATTTAAAATTATATCAATGTCAGGCTTTGGTACACAAAAGCCATACAAGTTCCACTAGCTGACAGGGGATATTTGCTACTTGCACAATATTAAATTGGTTTTACCCATCGAAATTTGCATGCTATTTATAATTTATGTGATCTCACATTTTTATAAAATGATTTTAATTTTTTAATTTATAAGCCAAATTATCTTAAAAAATGTATATTTTTTAAATATATATAAAATATATGTATATTTTTTTAATGTAAATATTTTTATTTTAAAATATGTAAAATAAATTTACTTAACAACGTTTTACATGATTTTATAATTTAATTATTAAGTTATATTGTATTCGTCTTATAAATTATAAAACCCTTAGGTTTAGCAGCTAGTACATTTATAGTTTCAGTGTCAGCTACTGGTACAAGCACTTTTTTCACTGTCAGCCACTGGAACACGTACAAAGGTTGAATTAAGTTGAAAAATGTTATAAAATATATTTAAAAAAACCCTTTTTGTATGACAAATTTGAAAACTACACTAAATTTAGAATCACATAAAATACGTAATATCTCTTTAGTTCCTATTTATTCAAAACCACGGATTATTAAGTGCGTATAGTTTCTTCTACTGTCAGCTACTGGTGCGTTTACCTTAATTTCGTTTATAATGGTTTTATTCATTCAATATACAACAGTCACTAATCATTTCTGGTACTTTGAACCATTACTGATAGCTTACCAATGTTAAATCCTGACGATATTCAGTTCAATTCTCAGAACAAAAATCATTAGTTGTGGTGCAATTAAGATAGCCAAAAGATGAATTATCCAAACAGAAGAGACCCAAGTAGCACACATCGTTGGCCCAACGTTGGGAAATGGTCGGCATGGTTGGGAAATGTTTGGCAGAAATTTTAACGATTTGCCAACGTTGGCCCAACGGAAACTGGTATTTGTTGGCCCTACAAAGGAAAGAATCGTTGGGCCTTCGTTGGGCATTCGTTGGGTTTAAGTATAAAACATTCTAAAACGAATTTTAACAAATTGATTTATTTACAAGTACATAAATGTTATGGCAGCAGAATATAAGACAAATATTGTTAAAATTTGGATCAATAATGAATGTAGTCAGATAATGTTGTGATACTAACAGTAGGGAACACCTGCTTAACATATAATAATTATTATAATTAATTTTTTTGAAATATTTTTTAACTTTTTTAAGCAAGTTTTTAATAGTTATAGAGAAAAGATTAATTAATTATATAATAATCAATTATAACAGTAGCCTACTAATCTAATGGTAATTGAATAATCTATATTCAAATACTAGTATCCTCTCCAACTACCAGAAAAACAATTCAACTACTTGAGGCCTAAACAGATTAGAATCATATTATACTGTAGCATCAAAAATATTTAAGAATTAATTGTGAACAGTGCACCTGTCGGCTACTCTTTCACCACTTGAAAACATCCATAATAAACAAGCACAGTTAGCTCAGAGGTAAAGTGTGAGGCTCACATGTCAAAGGTACCGGGTTCGAGCCCCGTCCCGGCCAAAAAATTTTATTTCGTTTTATTTTCAAAATAAGTTTGTATGAACTATTTAATCAATTTACTCAACTCATAATTATGCTTTGCACACAAAATCTTTATTATTTTGTGTTTTTTATGTTTATGCCCAATGGGATGGTTGGCCCTTCTGCAAAAATTGGTTGGTTGGCCAACGGTAAGACTGAGTGCCAAAACATACCGTTGGCCAACGATCGACAGAAACGTTGGGCCAACGATTTTTGCTACTTGGGGAGGGGGCCGGGAAACTTTTGAAAGGATGGTAAAAGAAAGGAAATTGGGATTAGTCATATTTTGATTTTGGATACTGCAATAAAACTTGTTACTTATCTTATTGTAAAATCTGAAGCTTTTTTATATTTTCCGGATCCATCAACACTGATATCAGCTAAATGTTACTCATCTCTTTTTTGAAGGGTTTACCTAGGATAGTTTTTTTTTAACTAGCCTTTTCAATTCAGTTATTAGAATTGAAAAGATTCACTTAACAGTAGCCTATTTTTTTACTTAGCCTACTTAACAGCATTGTTTTGTTACTTTACAGTACAAGTTTGGACCAATGAGGTTCAAGGATTGAGAGAAAATAAGTAAAATTGTAATGCTTCAAAACATCAACTTATCAGTTATAAACAAAAACATAACCTCTCTTAAACGTTCTGAGTAGTGATTGTTAGTAATTAAAAAACTGTCGTGGGTAAAGTAGTGCACGGCCAACTTGCGCAATTACCCTTTAAGACTATCTTTACGTAATCGTTGCGTAAACTTCTATTCTGTGTGTGTCATCCTTAACCTTTTTGGTTTACAATACCAGGGGACAAGCAATTGTTTTATGTGGTCAAAATAGTTATAAAGTTTTAAAAGCGACATACCAAGAAAACTCTGGTGTTAGGCAACATAAATATACCTTCAAATTGGCTCATTTGATGATGCTTAAGTATGAGGATGTTAGGCTCGTTTATGACACAAAACTGAATGTAAAATTTAGTCTACAGTATAGCTTAAAGACTGTAAGAATGGATTTATAAGCAAAGCCCACAATCAAAATGTTTTATAGCAGCTGACCGCCTTTTTTATTAAAATTTAAACAAAATTCTACTCCTAAGCTGTTTTTTTTCTTTCAGATTAAACTATCACTAAATTAATCAAAAAAAAGTTTAAAATGAATAAAGATCATGACGTCCTTTCCATTCAAAAAGGAACTAAAATAAATAAATTTGAAGCTCCACTATGTGTAGAGAACTCAGATGGAAGCTTTGGAGTTATCAATACCAAAATAATTTGCATTTCTGCAATGAAAGAGTATGAAATGAAAAGTTTGGAAGAACTCCGTTTTGAGGACTACTTAGCAAATAGAAAAGAATTTCACAAGGCAAGTTGTTGATTCTATCATGTTATATAATATGCAACAAACACATGCTTCAGGTCCTTCTAGCTTCTGGGCATGCGGTGGTTTGGACCATTGTTTGTGCAGTAAGGAGACTCCAGAGTACAGAATAAGCTAAGTAATGCATGAAATTTGCTTATTCTGGACCACCTTTTTTCTTGTGGCAGATTTCCTTTATTCCTTATTTCATATGGTCTGCAAAACCAATCTCCACATCCTGACCATGGTACACAACATCAAACAAAATCCTAAACGCAAAACACAAATTAACCAATAAGTTATTCTCAACCCTCTACCCACTTAAAAAATTTGAAATTATAAAATTTCAGTAAGCTGAAATTGTTGATGAAAGGATAGAATAACTGAAATCAAAGGTCCCAAAATTTGGAAATAATCTTTATCCCATTTTTTATCTCGGCCCCTTATTAAACTGAAGGAGACCCAATTTAGTTTTTTAACTCCAACATTGGTAAGTAATTTATTATATCTTATAGTGATACAGTGGTGGATATAAAATATAATTTTGAAGGGGGCCGAGATTAATTTAAGGTTAGGTTAAGTAATTTCAAGTAGACACGTCATGATACTTTATCTGAGTTTTGCTGTGGTAATTTGTGCTAAATGTGACCTTTACTTTATCAAGATCACGCTGTATCATTACATCGTTCCATTAAGTCTTAAAAATGTATCCATTCAAGCCAGTGGAAGAAAATATCTCAATTACTAAATAAAAAAAACGTTGGTTTTAAAAAAGATTTTAAAATGTGTTATCCCATGTGTAAATACTTATCTGAACCTAAGGAATTATATGCGCTATTGTGATTATCATATTCGGAGAGGTTCTAACTACCATATAATAAGTATTCTTTTGTGCAAACTGCAAAACTTTAACATTTTAGTACAAAATATGTCGAACAGATGTAAAAAACAAACAATAACAATGCCTATCACTGAACTGGCTGAACTGTTCATTGGTTCATTACTCCCCTCCCCTGACGCCGGTAGATAAGCTGGTCTCTAGCAGTCACTGCTGCAAGCGAAGGGAGCTTGAGTAGGTCTGAATCAACCCGAACTCGCACAAACTATCACTGTCTGCACAGTGATGACTTCGCGCACGATACTTGATAAATAATTCATATTATGATACCTATTTTTTCTTTATATACATTGCCCCCCCCCCCTTATATTCGCCCCTGTAGTGATACAATTATTGACTCTGGTATTCCATTCTTTCATACAAATTGTCTTTCAATGTAAAATAAACACAGTTGGCTGGGCCCAGGTGGAAGTTCAATGGATGGGTAGATACTGTAACTAACATAATATATGATTTTATTCATATTGTATTTATTTTTTTAGTAATACTATTGAACTGCAATACTAATTCCCAAATAAGCATGCACAATGTTTGTTATTTTAATAGCTGTAATTTAGTGCAAAAGACACTAAAAAAAAAGAAATAATTCTCTGAATCATAAGACAGATCAATGACTTTTTTGTGAAACTAAACTATCTTGATATTATAACCTGAAATGATATTGTAAAGGTTATCATTTCAGGAAGATGTTTATAACTAACCAACTGTATCAGCAAACTGATACATACCACACATACTTTCTCCCATTAGCTTCAACAACCCTTATAATGGGTAAGCGGTGGGAGTAACTGTGATATTTTCTGGGTAAGTCACAAAAATCGCAATAACCTACAAGCCATAGTTTTTAGAGCATTGGAGGTACAAACAAAATGCTTATTTGAGCCACCACCTTGTGAAGACGTGCCCATTTTTTTCGTACCCAATATTGTTCTAACCTAGTATATCATTTTTTCAGGTTACAGGTTTCTCTTTTTTTTTTGCTTGTTCCGATACTACACAGTTTTCTATGTGGTTATTTTTGATACGATTTTCCAGGTTTAGCTAGGTTTGTTTACTATTAATTTTATATTTTAGGTACTAAAAGAATCAGTTGAGCAAGGGTCGGATTTTAGATCCGGAAACATCGTCAAAACTTGATTTTACTAATTGTGATGTAAAATGTATGCAATAACCCCTCAAACACAAAAACATTCTCCATATACCATGCATAGGGGGAGAAAATAAAAATATTCAAACTAGCATTCAGACTTGTTATTGGTTAAACTTCAGGATGAAGTAAACGATTTGAAAGTTTGCTTACCTCTCTTTCTCAGTATTAGCTGTCTGTACGCTACTTTATAATTTTAACATTTCTGTGCTTGTTGCTGCAAACCTAAATACTCTTTGGATAGTAATTTAAAGAGTTCTTTTATTTTATTATTGAACATACAATGAAAATGTTTGTTCCGGTCAAAATCAATAGGAAATCATTATTCTAGTATGCAGGTAATGATTTGAGTATTTGATATTTTTTGTTTTCTTTTCAGATTAATGGAGGTCAACTTAGATCAACTGTATCTATACCTTTTGGATTAAGTGGAAACATCACCCCTGGAAAAAGTAATATGCCATTCAGTTTTAAAAATTACAATTTTCCCTCAGACAGAAGTGGTCTTTTCAGCGGGACAGTCAATTCTCCTACAATTGCCAACACAGGGATGCCTCAATCACCTCAGAATATGTTTCAATTTGGCTTCAAAAACTTTTCTGACTCTAGCTCAAGCTCTAGCACAAGCCCATTTGGTTCTACTAAGCCATTTACATTTCGTGCTTCTAGGCCTGTATTTAGCTCTCCTTTTAAAAAACCACATTTTGGCTTTGGACATTCTATTGTTCATCCAGGTAAGCAGTCTCTTAGTTATTTTATTAGTTATATTGTTAACTTAAACTTAAAGATTTCCAAAATTTAAAAAAAACTCCAATCTCAAGTACACTAGTTAGTGTACATGTTGTTTGAACTCGAGCAATTCTCAAGTACCTGTATTATACAGTGAGTTATTTAAAAACTAATAATAATAGAACAATTTTTGATGAGTTTAAAACACTCAACTAAAAGCTTGTGTAGTAGTAACTAATGGAAGTACTCACACTGTTAATAACAGTTTCATATAATAAACGCTTCTTGTAAATATCTTATCATTTTTCAGAAGCTGGCCTTGTTTTTTAGTGTTTTCTAAAAATGTTTCCCGATCCACCCATAGCTGTTACCAGTAAACATTTCTTATTCATTTGATCTGACATTAGGCAAGTTTAATTTACCAATGTGACAACACAATGTGTACATTCTTCGTGTATTTTCTTTCGCTTCTACATTCATATGACACTAGGAAGGGTAACTTCCTGCTATTCAAGTTCAAGTTCAAAGTTCTCTGTGAGGTTCCTTCTCTGTTAATTTAGTGTTTTATACGAGAAAGAAATATCTTTTCAGTGTAAAAGTGTAAATAAGAATAACAGTATAATATACCTAATTTGCAAATAGTGTAAAAACAGCCTTCTGTAAGTGTAAAAGTTAATTAAAATCAATTTTTAAAAAGACTTACATTGGAAGAAGTAAAAGCACATGTATTTCCAACAGCACTGATATGGTTGAATTCTGATATAAGATTTCTTGTTTAACTAGTATTTAACCACTATTGATAGATTTGTGATTCTTGACACTAATTCTAAACTTTTAAATAAATTACTTTATAATATCTGACGTGCTGATTAGAAGCTGAAGTTATAGACACTGACTTCCGTAGTCTACTCAATCAGGTTGCAACAAAAATTATTGTCCAGGTTTTGAGGTGGAGTTTGTTTGGCTATCGGCAAATCTGCTTATCAGTGCTGACCTCTGTACTGCTCTGCTGAACCTGGATACATATACCTACCTACTCTGTTTCAAGCTTATCAGCTGTTGACTAAATCACCCTTTTGTTATTGTTTACTTTATGCACTGACACTGACCTTGCCTATGAATGTGATAATCATTGCTATTGCTAACATTGATTTGAAATGAGTATTATGATTAGTAAAATTTTATTTTATTGATGGATTTAATCTCTCAAAACTTAAGTGATTCTGAGCCTTGATAAAAAATGCCTGATCACTGTAAGTTCAAAATAGGTGACAAAACATTTGCAAAAGTAAGGGGCCACCCACACTGGCCTGCACAAATAACAAATATTGATACAACAAACAAATTACCCAAGTATAGTGTGAAGTTTTATGGCACTAAAGAAACTGCTGTTGTGAGTGAAAATAACATTTGTTCATTTCTAGAGAATAAATCTATTCATGGAACAAATAAAACAAAAAATAAACATTTATCCAAAGCACTGAGGGAAATTGAAAAAAGTGTCAATAAAAATGAATCCATATCAAACAAGGAAAAAAACTACTCTATGATGAAGAACCAAAAAACCGTGCTAAATGACTCTGTACCTACAACAGAGTCCCCTAATGCTTGCAGTAGTCCAAAAAAATGTCCATCCCAAGCCTCCTCACTGCAGTCCGATGAATCATGTATGTATTCCCTAATGAAAGATGCAATTAGTAGGCCTACTCACAATTTTAAGTGCATCAATGAACTATTGGGGCCTAACTGGATCTCAGACGATGTGATACGTAAATACTATGATATCTTGAACGAAAAAATACTATCAAGCACAGGAATCATTTGTGTGAATCCTGTCGTGAGTCATGCTGTAAAGGTGCTAGAGGACTGTGATTTTTTATTGGAGAATATAAATATACGAAATGCCCAACTTTTGTTCATACCAATAAATGATCATATGGAACTGATGGAAAATGAAGCTAACCAACAGGATACAGCTGATAATGTACAGACTCGAGGAACACACTGGAGTTTGCTTGTTTTTGAAGCTTCGACTTCCACCTTTTTACACATCGACCCTATTAAAAACTACAATAATAAAGCAGCCTCCCTGACAGCATGTAAGTTTTACTCCTATCTCACTGGGGAAAAAATAATGTTGGATAAGTACTTCATGAACATCGAATCTCCCCAACAACAAAACTCGTTTGACTGTGGTTTGTTTGTTGTCTCAATGACAGAACACATTATTGATCATCAATTGAATCCACGTGAATTAGATATCGTGGAATTGTCAAAATCAATTAGTTTTACAGAGACAGACATGATAACTAAAAGATCTCACATCGCATATATTTTTCTAAACTACAGCAAACTAACAGTTAAAACCATTTCATCTCTAATGCGAAAAAATACTGGAACTTTTAATCAGGAAGATTCTACAAAACAAAAACACAAGAGTATTGAAAGTACCATTGTAACAACAAACAGGTTTGCAATATTTGAAAATATAGAGAATGAACCTACCTCACGCCTTGAACCGAAGCATGTAGGCTAGGTAAATATAAGGAAGATTCAAAACAAGCCACAAGAAAAAAGAACAATAAGTCTAAACAACTTAAGGAAACAAATAACAATACATTAAAAGGACCATCGCAAGAACTAAATGGCAATAATGAAACAACTACTATAAATGATGAAGAAAAAAACATCTGCATATTCGCTGATAGTCATGGTCGACAAATAAATCAAATTCTATCATCAAGTCTGCCAGAAAAATACAAGCTATACGTAAATACAGCACCTGGAGCTCCTTTGGAATATGTAATGAAAAATGCAGAGGAAAATATAAAAAGAATGAAAGGAAATGATGTAACAGTTTTAATTGCTGGGTCTAATAGTATTGAAAAAATGCTAGAACAAAAATGTGACCCAACTGACAAAATACCAGAAGTTTTTGACCACTTTTCAGCAGTTAACAAACATACTAATGTTTTAGTAGTTCCACTTTTTCACAGATTTGACCTTCCACCTCAACACATCATAAATAAAACAATTAGGAGAGTAAATTTTACTTTGAGGACGACAGACATAAACATAGTTGACTGCAGACGCTTAAGAAGGACCCACTTTACCCTGCATGGACAACATCTGAATAGGGAAGGTAAACATGTTTTGAGTGAAGAAATTCTGAAGGAAATAAAATATAACAAGCTAAATTACACAAATCAGCTCCCTAAAGAGATCAGAGTTGTTGAGGCCAACATGAACCAGCTATTTGATGATTTTAGTAAATGTGAGAGCCTGGCCTTCTCCCACTGTATATCGGCAGATCTGACAAGTGAAAGGAATATGACGGCGGGAGTTGCTGTGAAATTCAGAGAAAGGTTTGGCAGGCCTACCAAGAGTGACTACTGTGATGAACATTTGGTTTACCAGAAAACCAACGGATCCTCTGTCTACGGCTTAGTGACAAAACCAAAATACTATGATAAACCAAAAACAGAAGTGTACAATGCTGCTCTCCAAGAACTAACAACTGACTTTACCAGGCGATCCTTTAATAAGCTGATTTGCTCACCAATGGGTTGTGTGCGGGATGGAGTACCACTGGAACAATTTGCTGCCAACATAGTCAACTTTCAACGGAAGACTAAAGCTACTGTCATAGTAGTAGCCTACTACCAATCCTCTACAAGAACACTGTTCAATCGCTACTCATACAAAGATTTTATTCACAAACTGAGAGACTCCATCTCTGAACAATATCAACAGAAGGTGTTCGATGAGTCGTCTCACATAACCATCAACTGTAGTCAAGAAACCATCAAAACTCGTGAAGAGGATGCAGTGAGCGAACATCAGCCTGTCTCACCTACCACGACCAGCCCCCCCACGGTCCCTGGAGTCCTTGACTACAGTGAAGTAGTGAAAATGTGTGATCGTGTTAGTGGTGAAAAGCAGAGCACTAGTGAAATCAGTAACGTCTGTAGTACAAATCATTATAGTGTGTCAGTGTCCTCCGATACCATAAGTCATAGTAATACGCATTTTTTGTCTCAGAGTCCTCACCATTCACCCCCTCCGGACGTCCTTTAACTATTCCATCTACGATTACCCTACCACCTTATCACATATCCTACATAACTGGACCACCTAATCAACCACCTAGAAACCACCTCTCTCAAAGTCCACCTCAAAAATGTAATTATCAAAATAAGTCTATAGTTAAATTATTCCATCAGAATATTGAACATTTGAAATCCAAAATTGAGGCTTTGCAAATAACTTTGAATGAAATAAAAGCACATATTGTTATCTTGACAGGACATGATATGAAAGAGGAAGAAATTGAGCGCTTAAATATAGAATACTATTCTGATATAGAATACTATTCTGTAGGGTCATATTTTACTCGGAAGCTGTCACGCAAAGGTGGAGTAATGTTACTATCTACCAATGAAATGAAACAAAAAATAGTTACAATTCCTGACTCTTTGAAAAATAAATTAATATAAGAAAAACAGTTTGAATTTTGTATATGTAAATATTTAATTAACAATTTTGAAATAGTAGTTGTAGCAGTTTACAGATCCCCTAAGTCAAAAGCTGAAATATTTTTAGACAGATTAACTGTACTTTTAGAATTTTTGAACAATAAGTTTAAGTGTATCATTGTTGCAGGAGATATTAATATAGATGTGCTTGTTAAATCTAAGGAACACACTATGTTAAAAAATATGCTAAAAAGGGTAAATATGGAGTACTTGGTAAAATTTCCCACTAGGATCTCTAAAATATCAAAAACAGCAATTGACAACTTCCTTGTCACAAAGTCTCAAAGCAGCCTCATGAAAATGAAATGAAAATGAAAAATGAAATGAAAATCATTTATTTATACAGGCAAAGTATAATATAATAAATATAATAAAGTATACAGGAAAGCCACATGGCCCTTCCTTACACTTAACCTGAACATAAACAGCATAATAACCTTATTGTCTGACCATGATGGTCAATGCTTAGA